GCAGGTCAAATGATCTAGCTTCCTAAAAAAAAAAATAAATTAAAAAAAAAGGCAAAAAAGGGCATGATAAGAAGAGAAGAGGGGGAAAAGCAACAATCTACAAGGTGGGGTTCGATAAAACAAGATTACTAAACTGTTGAGAATTGGTGAAATTGGATGAAGGATTAAAATAATATAATAGATTGCCTATTTTTTTATTATTATTAATTTATTTATTTGACAGAGATCACAAGTAGGCAGAGAGGCAGGCAGAGAGAGAGAGAGAGGGGAGGAAGCAGGCTCCCCGCCGAGCAGAGAGCCCGATGCAGGACTCGATCTCAGGACCTTGAGATCATGAGTGGAAGGCAGAGGCTTAACCCACTGAGCCACCCAGGCGCCCCATTTGCCTATGTTTTTATCTCTACTTTTTTTCAGTTTGAAAATTCCCATAATTCAAATTTTTAAAAATAAGAAACGTAATTTACTTAGAAACTTCTTCTGGGCTGAAATGTAAAAATGTATCAATAAGAATAAAGTAGAAGTCACAGGTTTATGTGTCATTTTAAAGACTTTTTGTTTTGACACTATTGTAGATCAGTTTACTGTTGTAAGAAATAATTCAGACAGATTCCATATCCTTCGCTGCAATGGCAATATCCTGCATAACTATCGCACAGTATCTCAATCGGCAAGTTGACATTGATAGAATCAATGGCCCTTATTAAATTTCACCAGTTTGGTATGTATTCATTTATGCATATATGGCTTGTATATTAATTTCTATGCAATTCATCAAAGCGTACATTTGAATGACCTCCACCATAGTCAGGATACAGTTCTGTCACAAGATTTCCTTTCACAGGGGCGCCTGGGTGGCCCTGTCGGTTAATAGTCTGCTTTCAGCTCAGGTCATGATCCCAGGGTCCTGGGATTGAGCCCTACATCGGGCTCCCTGCTCAGCAGAGAGCCTGATTCTCCCTCTCCCTCTGCCTGCTGCTCTGCTTACTAGTGCTCTCTAGCTCTGTGCCAAATAAATGAAACACTAAAAAAAAAAAAAAAAGAAAGAAAGTTTCTTTTTCACAGCCACAGACACCACCCTTCCTCCTCTTTACCATCTCCAAACTCTGGCAGCCAATAATCTGTTCTCCATCTCTATAACTTTGTCATTTCAAGATAAAATATGTAAATGGAATCATATAATATCTGTAAGCCTTTGCGATTTTTTCCCCCCACCAACCGTAGTTATTTTGAGATTCATTTAATTTATTGGGTGTATAAATAAATCTTCCTTTTCTTATTGCCAAGTAAGTATCCTATGGTATGGGTGCGCCCCAGTTTCTTTAACCATTCATCTGCCAAAGGACATTTGAGTTGTTACTAATTTTTGGTCTTTACAAATAAAGCTACCATGAACATTCATGGAAATGAAGTTTTTGTGTGAACCCATTTTTTTTTTTTTTCATTTCTCTGGGATCAATGTTCAAGAGTGCAATTACTGGGTGTAAGAAACTGCTATACCTTTTTCCACAGTGGCTGTTCCATTTTCATTCTCATCAGCAGTGTATGAATATATGAGTGTGTGAGTTGTAACTGTTTAACTAATAGTTTTTCAGAATAACTGAAGGAAGAATGATGGCTTTTTGGTTATTAATTCCTGGAGATTAACTGACCTCTTTCTGATGAAAATGTTTCAGCCCAAAAGACTCCTTGGTTTGGGGAGATTTCTATAGGAGAAACTCACTGCAAAGAAATAAGGTCAAGGAATTCCTAAAAGTGTTTTAAAACAAGGCTAAAAATTTATCCTAAGGACCTCTGAAAGGAAGAGAAAAAAAAAATCTATTGAGCAGATATACCAGTCATTTCTCATTCTCTATCTCATTTATTCCTCTTGATGACCCTGTAATAAGGGTTATATGTCCATTTTAGAAATAGTGTAATCAAGGGGCACCTGGGTGGCTCAGTTGGTTAAGCTCATGACTTTGGCTCAGGTCATGATCTCGGGGTCCTGAGACTGAGTCCCACATCAGGTTCCCTGTTCAGTGAAGAGTCGAATTCTCCCTCTCCATCTGCCCCTTCCCCTGGTGGTGCGCTTGCGCTTTCTCAAATAAATAAAATCTTTTTTCTTTTTTTTAAGAAATAATGTAATTGAGGTCTCAAATTACTTTTCAAACAGTCACAGTTAGCAAACTGGCAAATCGAGACTAAAAAGCTCAGCTTCTAGCTAACTTTAACTCAGTGCAAGAAACATAGGAGGCAATCAACACATTTGTTGAAACGAATGAATGAATAGATGAATGTCAGCTCTGTTGTTTATTTTTTAAAAGATTTTATTTATTTGACACAGAGAGAGAGATCACAGGTAGGCAGAGAGGCAGGCAGAGAGAGAAGGGGAAGCAGGCTCCCCGCTGAGCAGAGAGCCCGATGTGGGGCTCGATCCCAGGACCCTGAGAACATAACCTGAGCCAAAGGCAGAGGCTTAACCCACTGAGTTACCCAGGCGCCCCAGCTCTGCTGTAATGTATCCCTTGGCAAGACTATTAATTTCTCTGAGTCTGTGTCTTCATTTGTTAAAGGAGGACAATAATAACACCTCCTTCACAGAGTTGTGAACAAATAAGGTGATACAATAGGGGAAAAAAAACAATTTGGAAAATGTAAAATGTTGAACAGCATAAGATTCAGTCAGTGTCATAACCAAATACTGACAAAATACAGGCAGGAGACTTGGCTAGGAAGGTGTAGTGCCAGTAATGTACTCTGTCCCAGGAATCACTTAATTGCTGTTTCCCTATGTTCCTCATCTGTGAAATCACAACTGAGATTAAGGTTGAGCACCTTAATGACACAGACCCTAAGATTCTTACCTAGTAATGAGGCAGGATCAAGCAAGCCTCTACATAAGAAATTAATTTGAAAATGTTGCACCTGGTTGGGTCAGTTAGTTAAGCATCTGACTAGATTTCCGCCTGGGTCCTGATCTCAGGGTCGTGAGATCTAGTCCCTTGTCAGGCTCTGCTCTAACTGTTCAGGCTGCTTGGGATTCTCTCTTTCCCTCTGCCTCTATTCCACCACCCCAGCTCTCTCTCTTTCTCTGTCTCAAAAAGAAAGGTTTGCTATACTTCCCAGGATGATAAAAAGTATTATGCTGATTATAATTATCCATGGCATTTTGGCCTTCATTAGGTCATTTAGACCTATACCAATGCATCAAAATTATTACATAGATAATTTGTATATTGATGTGTACATGTATATATGAAAACAGTATTGGTAACAGTTAATAACATGAGACTATATATATAATTTACAAACACACACGGGTCTCTAAGAAAAATCCACACTGGATTATTTCTATCCACAGTGGATAGAAAATGCGGAAGAATGGGCAAGAAATTGATATATTGTGTCTATGTAGGGGATAAAGATGGCTAGGGAGAAGGGCACAGAAACTTCACATTTGTAACCCTTTGTACTTCCCTTTTGAATTCTGGACCACATATTTCTGCATTACTATTAAAAAAAAGGCTTAAAAATTTTCTAAAAATCTTGTATAAAAACGGAACATTAACATAGAATAACCACAGAACTTTTTAAAGCTTTGCCCTTAAATTAATAGTTTAAATTACGAAAATATGAAACCACTTCCGTTTCAGTATGATTTTATGTTGTTTTTTTTTTTTATGGAATTTTTGCTTCCTGGGCATGTTTAACTCTTCTGAATAAAGCACTCTTTTCTTTTAGTACTTTTTTGTAAGACTGATATGCTGAGTGTAGATAAAATTGAATAAAATGAGTTATTTCCTAAGAATAATATTAAATGTGTGTGAGGCACCTGTTTTAACTATGAGGTCAGAGACAAATGAGATAGAAAGTGTATGTAGATGAAGAGGAAGACGTTAAGTCTTGCACTGCTAAGGGCCACCATTAGATGCTACTGGCGCCAGTGTTGAGGCATTGTGGCTCCTGTGCATTTTGGTGGTCTTCCAAAGCGTGGATACCGGGTAGGGTTTGGCTTTAACATCTTCTTCCTCTGCTGCCGTCCCCAGTCAGGACGGGAATAGGATTTTCGCAAGCCTCTAAACACTGAAAAGATGCTGGTGATTCTCTTCCCTATGTAATTAAAAATGGAAATATATTTAGAAAAAAAAGCTTAAATCTTCCCACTAGATTTTCTTAAATAAAAATTCCTAATAAATTCATCAAAGTTGAACTTTTTTTCTGCTTTTCCTTCCTTTAGACTTGGCTCCAGAATCCAGCACTTTCAGGCTGTTAAACCAACCCACACGGCTTCCCACAGGTGCCAGCCCCACCCCAACAGGGATCTCCTCCTCCACTCCTCCCACCTGCCCCTTCGCCCCGCCCATTGGGCGCGTCGTCGTTACGGCAGCGCGCTGTCGCCGAAGCCCGGCAGCAAATGAGCGCAGGCGGTGGCGGCCCTCCGTCGTACCCTCGCAGGCGCATGCGCGCTCGTGCCGGGCGCTCCTGAAGACCTGGCGGAGCCCGGCGCGGATGGAGGCCTGAGGGCGGCGGGGGCGGAGCGCACCGCGAGCTGGGGGCATGTCCGCGGCGGGCGCCGTCTAGAGGAAGGCCGAGCAGCCGCCACCACGCTCTCAGTCGCGGCGAGACGCAAGCGAGCCAGGCCTAGGGCCGCGGCGGCGATGCAGCGACGGCGGCGCCCTCCTCCGCCAGCTTCTCAGCTGCCCGAGGGCTGCGGGGGAGGCGGCGGCGGCCGCAGCGGGAGCGAGGAGGTGGAAGTGCAGTTCTCCGCCGGGCGTTTGGCCTCCGCCGCGGCGGTTTCGGCGGCGGCCGTGGCCGCGCGCAGCACGGAGGAGGAGGAGGAGCGGCTGGAGCGCGAGCACTTCTGGAAGATCATTAATGCCTTCCGCTACTACGGGTAAGAAGCCCGTGGCGGACCCCGGCGCAGCCCATCGAGGTGCCCGCCGGAACGGGGCCGCCCGCCGCGCTCGCCCTCGGCCGCCACGCCTCCGGGGCGCCGGGACCGGGCCGCCAGATCTGACCTCGGGGCCCCTGAGTCACCTCGTACCACCTTAGCCCCTCCCGGCCCTGCACAGCCGCGTGTCTGCCGCGCCGTCTGCTGCCCAGCCTCGTGTCTTCCAACCTCGGGATCAGATTAGCTCTCTTGCCTTCCATCCCTCGTTAAAGGTTTGGCTTTGAGGCCGGTGGGGGTGACCGGAAAAGTGCTGTTAACAATTGCAGATAGAAGATGATGGTGGTAAAATCGGCCGGTGCTGGGCATGATCTTGATGTGTTGTCGATGTCCTCCAAACTGAACACACGGAGAACCCAAGTTTACCTACACGTGGGATGCCGTAGGACGAATTTTCCCAAACTGTTGCCAGTTCTTGTGAGAGCTGCATAAGATTTTCACCCCAACCCCCTTGGCGCTTTGAACGTGCAGGCACATTAGTGGTGAATGATGGCGCTCAGTGTCTTTAACTGGTGGGTGAAATTAAGGTCGAAGGTGGTCCGGATGTTCTAAAATTTGCTAATTATTAAAGAGGGAAATGAGAGAAGGCACAGTAAAGAACCGCTTTTATGATCTTTTATTCTGCAAACATGTATCGAATTCTCACTATGGGCTGGGCACTGTGGTAGGACTTTTAAACTCCCTAACTTCACTTTTCTTCTTTCTGGATGGATGTTAAAATAGCGTAGTCACAACATTATAATTCCAGGATCTCAAAAGGACTTAGATTTTCAGGTAAATAGAGCACTTTTATTCCTGTTAGAGTTGAGCCCACCGACGACTATGTTCTGAGTCTGCAGTTGGAATGAGATAGGACCCGCACAAGTAAAACTGTTCGCTTAGATGGGCTCCTGTTGTGATTTATGCAAACTTTTTTTTTTTTTTTTTAAATGACTGTGACCTCTTCAAGGGCAGGGAGTGAGCCTTATTTATTTTTGTGTCACCAGTGCTTGGCATACGTTGTGAAGCTCTATTTTTAACAAATAAGACAAGTAGTAGCAAAGAAATACATTTGTCCTTCCCAGATAGCTTGCGAATTTGTGACAAAATCGGTAGTTTGTTACTATTTTGAATTCAGAAACTTGCTTAATTAAAGCCTAAAGTGATTTAGAATCTCATTGCATTTTTGTAACATGAGTTTTTTGAAGTACAAAGATCTTGAAATAATTTACTGGCTAAACCCAGGCATAGGGACTAGACTGCATTACCTGTGGAGCCCAAAAGGGAATTAACTAGTGTGGGGATTTTATTTGGTATCAACAGAGGCAGGAAGGCAGGCAATCACAGAATTGAATTTGATGCAAGTATTGTGTCTTAAGAATCACACAGGGAGGAGAAACAACTAACACTAGATTTAAATAACTGGGAGAGGTAGATACAGAAAAGTCTGGTACATTTTGCTTTTGAAAAATATAGAAAAGGGTACTGGACTATGTTTTGGAAAGATAGTGGACCCAGATAGTTAAAATGTGTTTCTGTGCTGGCTCTAATATATTAAGACTAATCTAAAATTGATAGTTAAGATTAGGTATCAAATGGGCCCTTGTGTGGGCCAGTAGGGACCTTTGACCTGGAAGTAGGGCTCAAGTGTGGCAGTGTAGAGAAGAGTGCTTGTGTGCATATTCTAATGGTTGTGGTATAATTTTCTATACTCTAATCCCTCTTTAGCAGTTTGATATGGGATTGAGGATAATTTCATTTTTTAAAAACAATCCTTTTTATTTGTGTGTATTCTTTATGGAATACTTCCAATAGGGGCACCTGGGTGGTTCTGGAATCGAGAGCCGCATATCGGGCTCTCTGCTCATCAGGGAGTCGTCTTCTCCCTCTCTTTTTGCCTGCTTCTCTACCTACTTGTGATCTCTCTCTCTCTGTCAAATAAATTTAAAAAATCTTTTAAAAAATTATTTAAAAAAACCACTTCCAGTAGACTGAAGATAGTATTAAAAATATGCTTTAAAAAACATCACTGGAAGGGTTAGGGGTATGGAAAGTATTTTGTAGCAGAAAACAAACTTGGTTGTTCCATTGCAACATTTTCTGATCTAGACCTGTGCTGTTCAATACCATAGTCACTAATCACATCTGGCTAAATTTAAGCTTAAGTTAATCAAAATTTAATAAAATTTAAAATTCATTTCCTCAGTCTTACTAGCCACATTTCAAGTGCTCGTAGCCACATGTGGCTGGTGTCGGCTATATTGGACAGGGCAGATGTAAGCCTTTCTATCACTGCAGTAAGTTCTGATGGACAATCCTATTCTAAACCTTTAGCAAGTACTTCTAAATTTTGGAGAGCTTAGTTTCACTGCTAAATGCCTTTTAGTCTTTATATAGGGGATTTAGCTTAAAGGTCACAGGGCAAGAGATGTCTTAATATTTTTCCAATGGCTTCTAATTTTGTGTTGCCTACGGGTTTTGCTTAGATGACATATTTTGATTAAGGCAAAAATGATTGTAGCATTGTAGCGAATAGTTAAAAAAAAAAAAAGTTGTCATCACTAAGATACCAGTCTTGTTATGAATGAAAATACTCACATTAGAAGATACTACAGTTGAAAATTAAAGATCTTGTCAGAAACAGCCTACTTTTAGAAATAGCAGTTAGGTAAGATTTTAAAAATTGAGATGTAGAGTTCTTTTGTACAGGTGCAGGAACAGGCATATAGAAAGGTGAACAGCTTCCCCAGGCTTATACAACCGAATTGTGGTAGAGTCTGGCCTGAAATCCAAGATGGTTCACTGCATTAGTAAGCAGCAATACTAGTAAGACAATTTTAACTTAATATTTTAATAAATTTTGAAGTGGATTGGGTCAGATTTTCCTTCTGAAAAGATACACTTTCCTGTTAAGAATGCTAGAGTAGTTCAACAGGTGCAAAGAAATGGGTCTATGACCTTGGTTCTTGGCTCAGATTCAGTATCAGACCCACCCTGATGAAGGGAGACAGAGTTGGGGGTCACTGCCAAGACCAGCCTTCTGGAGAGAGCTGAAGGTAGAGATACCCTTGAAATATGGCTGGCCACTCTATTTTCTACCCTTACTCACCAGAGGATATGGCCTCTTGCTGCTGACTGAGTTCAGAGCCAAGGAGAGTCTGAAGGTTGTAAAACATTCCTTTAAAGCAGCATTGGGAAATTCTTTAAAGGGCCAAGCAATGAATATCTTAAGGTCAGAGGGCTAGGTGGTCTCCGTTACAGGTATTCAACTCTGCCCCTGTGTGAAAGCAACCATAGGCAGTATGTGAACAAACAGATATGGCTACGTTCCCGTAAAAGTCTTTACAAAATGGACCTAGTAGCCAGGGGGACATAGTGTACCCACCCCTGCCTTAAACTACATTGGTAGTGTAAGCATTTCCAGAATAGTGAAGTTAGCCGCATTTAAAATAGTATAGAGTGGACTCTTGTGTCAGCTTCAGTAAGACATCACTTATTTCAGGAGACTCACTGTGGATGTATGTTATGGACAGTTTTGTGGACCATTAAAAATCAAGGGTTAGGAGGGGCGCCTGGGTGGCTCAGTGGGTTAAAGCCTCTGCCTTAGGCTCAGGTCATGATCCCAGGGTTCTGGGATCGAGCCCCGCATCGGGCTCTCTGCTCAGTGGGGAGCCTGCTTCCTCCTCTCTCTCTGCTTGCCTCTCTGCCTACTTGTGATCTCTGTCTGTCAAATAAATAAAATATTTAAAAAAAAATCAAGGGTTAGGAGATATGCTGCAGCTCGCCCTGTTCTGTATAGTTACCTCACTTCTGTTTCAGTAATTGACAGCAGATATGTGTGGGCTCTATGGACCATTCCATAACTTACCTCAGCTACCCGGCAATCATGGAAGTTAAGTAGTCCTCATGGAGAATGAAAAATGGCACCAAGGGGGTATATAACTGAGTATTTATTGATTATTTGCATAGGCTGAAATCTGGAGATTCAGTTGGGACAAACACAAGATTTGTATTTTAGATGAATTCGTTAGGTGTGGTAGACTTTGGGGACAGCATTCCTAGGGAGCAGGCCTCTTGGGAATCTTTGAGAGACCTAATGAGGGCCTGAGAGAGGTAGTGATTTCCAGAGAGTTTATGAAGTAGAATCAAAAGGATCTGGAGCTTGTGGTTGTGGGGTCTGTGAGAAGAGGCATTTTAGGATGACTCATTCGTTTCTGACTTGAGTGGATGTATGGTATACCATTCATCAATGTCAGCCACACAGGAAGAAGTGCAGGGGTTTTATTGGGGTGGGGGGTGATCATGTGCTAAGTTCAGTTTGGATATGTTGAATTTTGAGATATGCTGAGAGGAAGGTTATGGGGCCTCCAGTGCCCAAGAATACTAGAAATGAAGTACTGTGAGACTGTTTAACCAGTGGGCTCTGAGTTGTAACCCTTCACGACTCTGCTGTTTGCCTCACACATAATGGTCACCTTAAATAGTTCCTTTAGTGTCCTACTCTATTTTATAGGAATGTAAATTGATATGATCCTTCTGAAAATCAGTTTGTATCAAGAACCTTAAAAATACCTTTTTTTCTAAAAAAAAAAATATTTCATTTATTTTAGAGTGAGCGAGGGATGGGTGGGGTAGGGGAAGTGGGGGGGTGGGGAGGGTCAGGGGAAGAGGGAAAGGGAGAGAAGCAGACTCCCCGCTGAGCTCGGAGCCCACCCCGGGGCTCCATCCCACAGCCCATGAAATCATGACCTGAACTGAAACGAAGAGTCAGACGCTTAACTGACTGAGCCACCCAAGCACCTCAATACTTGTCCTTTCTAAGTTGGTATTTCTTCCTTTGGGACTTTGTACTGTTTTTGTCTTTCTAAAATATAGACAGATTTGGAACACAGAAAAGTTCATCATGTAGACAAGTGAAAGTATCTAGATGCCTAGGGAGAAGTACTAAGTAAATTTTGGTTGCATAGATGGGATAATGAACAGTCATTACAGTCATTTGCCCTGTAGTCATTAGAGAAGATTTTTCTGATCTGGGAAAATTCTTTGATAAAGATGAAGAATTACAGGTGCTTCTAAAAAGTTGATGTGCATGTGAACCCTTTGGGGAGCTTGTGAAACGGCAGATCGGCAGATCGCATTTCAGAGGTGTTAGGTGGGGCCTGAGCTGCTTCCTTTCTAGTTATCTCCGCGTGAAGTGCTGTTCTCTGTACCACATTTTGACTAGAGAGGCACTTAAATGGCTTTGTTTTAACAACAGCAAGGAGAAATAATGCCAAAAAGTTAGAAGTGATTCCTTTTAAAGAGGGATTATTAGTAGCTTTTTTTCCTGGAGTACTTTTAATTCTCTACATTTTTTGTATTTTCATTGTGAACGTATTAGTTACATAACTGAGGTGTACCTACCATGTTTGAGCTGTGTTTTATTTAGGCCCTGGGCTAAGTGATTTGTGTGCATTATTTTGTTACATTTTCAGTGAAATGCCATTGGATTGGCAGAAGAATATAATAGTACGTAACCTTGTGGGGTTTTATGGCTATTTTCCAGAGTAATCCATTTTCAGTGACTTAGTGGTGGGCCTGGCTTTTATTAAATCTCAGGAAATGTTAGCTTCTCTAATCATCGTCAGTGTTGTTGTTATGTATTACCTTGTTCTTTATGTGAGACAGTTGGGACACAGAGAAAGGAAGTAACTTGCCAAGGGTCACATAGCAATAGGTGGCATAACCTGGATTTCAATCCAGTTTGACTCCACAGCTCACTATTACACTGTCTCTTGGGGGACAAAAGCAAACATCAGTGTAGCCACTGGCAACTTAATTTTTTCCCATTACCCTGCCATTCCCTCCTCGTCCCTGACCACCACAACCACCACACACAAGCTTCTAAAGACCTGGTCAGGTTATTGCTTCACTCAAGAGCTTCTTCAGAGTGTCTTAATTATTATCCAGAAATTAGAAAGTAATTTGGCATAAAAACGAGACAGTTACTTGGGTGAATAGAAAGATTCGGACAACCAAATGAAAAAGTGTTTTTCATTTTCATTTAGTATGGAGTAAATGCCAAAGAACATTGAGAAGAAACTCAAACACTTAACTTATTTGTTTGTATATATTAAAATGCAAAGAATGATGCAGTGAATACCCATGCACCTAACACCTGGTATGCAAAAAAATCCTTTCCCCGAAAGAACATCACTTTCTTTAATTTTCATTTCCTTGATTTCTTTGTAGTTATTTTTTATGTATGTTCAGTCCCTGTAATATTATTTTAATATAAGATAGAATTGTACATTGTGTGTTTTTCTGCAACTTGCTTTTTTCAACGAATATTTACATTCATGAGTTTTCTCCATATTGTGTATAGTTGTAGTTGATTAATTTAATAGCATTCCATTGTACTGCACTTCATTCATTTTACTGGTGATGAACCACTAGGTTGTTTGCAGATTTCTTGTTTGTTATATATAACCGTGCTAGTAAGAAGATAGTTTATGTTTCATGGTGCCCATTTGCAAGAGTTTCTTGGCCATGTGTCTACGACTGTAATTGCTAGGGAATGTGCATACTAAACTTTACTTGGGTAATGCTAAATTATGTTCCAAAGTGGTTGTACTAATTTATGCACCTCTCATCAATCAGTATGTGTATATATTCAAGTTACTCAGTATTTTTGGAATATTTCCTAATATTTTTGGAATATTTCCTATAGTCAAGCTTTTAGATTTTGCCCATCTGATTGATGTAAAATGGCAGTCATTACAAATGTAATAATCAGCTTTTTAAAATGGTGAGGTTTGGGACGCCTGGGTGGCTCAGTTGGTTAAGCGGCTGCCTTTGGCTAAGGTCATGATCCCAGCGTCCTGGGATCGAGTCCCTCATCTGGGGTCGTTGCTCAGCCGGGAGCCTGCTTCTCCCTTTGCCTCTGCTGCCCCTCTGCCTGCTTGTGCGGTCTCTCGCTCACTCTCTCTCTCTCTCTGACAAATAAATAAAATCTTTAAAAAATAATAAAATGGTGGGGTTTTTTGTTTGTTTTCAGGTTTGGTTTTTTTTTTTTAAGATTTTTAAATTTATTTATTTGACAGATCACAAGTAGGCAGAGAGGCAGGGAGAGAGAGAGAGAGAGGAGGAAGCAGGCTCCCTGCTGAGCAGAGAGGATGATGCAATGAGGGGATGCCAATGTGGGGATGCAGGGCTCTGATCCCAGGGTCCTGGGATCATGACCTGAGCCGAAGGCAGAGGCTTTAACCCACTGAGCCACCCAGGTGCCCCTGTTTTCAGGTTTTGTAAATTGGTCATCTCCAAAGTGACCTTTAGAGTTATTTGGAAACTTCTGGAATGCAAATCGTGAATACTATCATGTAAAATACTATAGAATTTCAATTTTTCCTCTGTTTACTACTTTTGTAGTACATAAGATCCTTTGTGTTTTTAGAAAAAATTCTTCTTGGTTGGTTCTTAATTTCAAAACACATTTTGTATATTCTAAAGTAGTTTCAGAGCAGTGTTCTGTTTGATGGTATTCATCTATTTTGCTGAAAATTTTAAGTTTGGAAATGAAAATCATAAAAATAAACTAATTGTACATTAATCCTCTTTATGTTTTCTTTTTCCCTTCTAAATGGTGCAAATGTTTACTTTCTTATAAACTGTCTTTTGTTTGGTTGCTTAGAGAATTTGTAATAAGGTAAAAACTTAAAACTTCCTCAGTTGATATCGTTTAAGAAACCAAAAGATTGTAAATCACAGGACAGTATCCCGACATTATAAGGGGGTAATTGTACAGAAAGACAACCTTAAAATAAGATTGGCCCTGGTGAGAATTCTTTTGCCAATTTAAAAAACACCTTTTATGTTTTAGCACCAGTATGCATGAGCGAGTGAACCGAACAGAAAGACAGTTTCGATCACTTCCAGATAATCAACAGAAACTACTTCCTCAGTTTCTTCTTCACTTGGACAAGATTCGGAAATGCATTGATCATAATCAAGACATACTACTGACCATTGTGAATGATTGCATACATATGTTTGAAAATAAAGAATATGGAGAAGATGTATGTGAAAGTTTGTTCTATTTTTATTTTAGGGTTTAATCTCTGCATTTTGAGGTCTTTATCTTTCTGGATTTCATTTTTATATTTTGCATGGGCCATTTGCTCTACTCAGAGAATGTTTTCACTTACATGTTCAAGTATTTGATTAGACTTTTTAGAATAGTATGCCAGAAACTGGATTTGTTCGCAGAAATTTTTTTTTCCCTAAAGTAGTAAGGTAATTGTTCGCATATTGCTGTATGATTTACATTGTGTTCTAACTGTTCTAGCATATAGAGTTAGTGACTTTAATTTTTATAACCAACATTTTAGCTGTGTAAAATTAATTTCCCTTGCTTAAATTCATTTTCAGTATCTTGTATCGATACTTATCTTTTACTTTAATAAGTTATTTTCACTTATAAATCTCAAGGGACTGACAGTAATAGAGACTGAAGTCCTTTTTTTGTATCCACAGGATGGATACAGTTGGGCCACTCCTGTGTGAGCCTCTCCATGCTGCCCCGTCAATGACCTGGAGGGACTTTCTTCCCTCTCTTAGAGAGAGAAGATGTTCCGTCTCCATAGCAGCTCAGTTCTGGTCCTCTCCTGAGTAAAGACTGCTTAATTATCTGGTGGTTTCATGATTATGGACCTTAAATCTATTGAGGGTAGAAGTGAGACCACCAAACTCTTTTCATGTAGGATCTCAAGCTGCACTTGAACCCTGGTTGAGGTGAGAGGCTAGTGATTTATCCACTAAACCATCCATATAGCCCTGTAGTAGCATGTCTGTTTGATCATATTCAAGACTGATTCCTTGGTCAGAAGCTAATTGATTTCTGTTTTTTTAAACAGGGGAATGGAAAGATTATGCCAGCATCTACATTTGACATGGATAAATTAAAATCTACACTGAAACAGTTTGTGAGAGACTGGAGTGAAACTGGGAAAGCAGAGAGGGAAGCCTGCTACCAACCAATCATTAAAGAAATTTTAAAAAATTTTCCGAAAGAAAGATGGTAAATAGTATCTTATTTTTAACCAGTTTCTTTAAGATATGTAAGCACTCAGTTTCTCTGTAAGAAATTCCACAGTCCTGATTCATGTTTGTAGTTGCTGCATGCCTGTATTTTTCCACATAAGGGTGTGTGGTGTTGTCTGTGTTCGTAGATGCTTTGTGTGAGGTTGTAGTCAATATTTTGAATACTCAGTTTAGCACTGAAGGGAAATTAATAAGGTTAGATTGAGTGTTCATTATCAATGATGTTTTATATTTGCTAATGGCAATGCAAGAAGCTGCAGACTTTGCATTTTCCTCATTATGACAAACTTGTAAGTAGATAAGGGATCTGTAGCTTAGAGCAGAGATTGTTTTTTTGTGCCATGAAAAGCCTCAGCAGTCCACTTTTCAGAATAGCATTTATAAACGAATCAAATAAAATGCATAAGATTGCAAAGAAACCAATTTTGAAGATTAGTTATCAAAATATTAAAAAGCACATTTGTGCTGGAACATGCTTTGTATCCTGTATCACATTAAATAAGATCTAGCAGCAAGTGTAATTACTGTATCTTTGAAAATACCACAGTATGTGTTATTTTGAGAATCTCAACAACTTCAAAATAACTTCAAGTTAAGTTGCATTTTATAGTGCTCATATACTCTACCTAATCACCAATTCTTAACGTTTTACATTTTGTTATTGCTTCTTCCTACTTCCTCCCTCCTTCCCCTGTTTTATGATTATGTCTAAAACCACATATATGCACAGCTATTACTTATGCCATTTGAAAGATCAGTTTGTATATATCTTTTTTTTTTTTTACCTTTTAATACTTCAGAATTCATTTCTTAAGAGCAGGATATTTTCTTACATAAAAACAGTGTATTTATCAGATTGAGAAAATTTATCTGAGATACTGTTTTCTGATCTACCGTCTATATTCAAGTTTTATAAAATTATCCTGAAAATGTTCTTTATAACACTCTTCTGTCCAGTCTAGAATCCAGCCCTGGATATTATATTACATTTCATTATAACATCTTGGTCTTTAATCTGGAACAGTTCCTTGGCCTTTCTTTGACCATGACGTTGGCGTTTTTGAAGAAGATAAGGAAGTCATTTTATGGAATATTCGTCAGTTTGAGATTATTGATGTTTCTTTCTTTCTTTCTTTCTTTCTTTCTTTTTTTTAGATTTTATTTATTTATTTGACAGAGAGAGAACACAAGTAGGCAAAGAGGCAGACGGAGAGAGGGGGGGAAGCAGGGCCCCACTGAGCAGAGAGCCCGATGTGGGGCTCGATCCCAGGACCCTGAGATCATGACCCGAGCCAAAGTCAGAGGCTTAACCGACTGAGCCATGCAGGTGCCCCTATCTGTTGTTTCTTTATGATTGGATCTGGATTATATGCCCCTTTTCAAAATAATACATAATTGATATGTAATTGATCGTTCTTCTCAGGATATCCCATTGAAAATCATACAGTGTCTGCCTTAGAGTTGTCAGCCATTGATGATTCTTGCATGAACTGGTCTGTCCTGTGCTGATTATGGAATGGTGCTTTTCTAAATTTATAATCATCAGTCAGCATTCTACTGTGTCTATAAACTATTACCTGAAAAGACAAGTGGTTCCTATTTTATTCAATGGGTTATGATCCATTACTATTGGTTTTTTATTGTCATTGCTGCCTCAGATTTAGCAAGTGGGAATCCCTTCAAGTTGGCCCCTGTGTCCTTTTACGTGGCCCAGTTCTTTTTGAGCGCTTCCTTATTTTCTGGCACAATAAGGTATTTCAATCCCATCATGTATCTTCCCTACTTTAGTTCTGGGATTGGATATTTTTCCAGGGACCTGTTTCCTTTAATGTGGAATTGTATGTAGAAACCAAGATCTGGCACTAGGCATGTTCGTTGTTACAGCTTTTGAGCCTTTCAGTAGGTAGAGAACACACACATAGACACATACTAGAAAGCATTCATTCGTACTGATTCCTTCAGTTCCAGTCCAACCCCAAAGGTTTCCTTCTTGCCTTCCCCTGTTCTTTATATCTGTCTGCCTTTTCCCACAGTGAGAGCCTGGCTTCTGACAACATCAGTACATTTACTCATTCACTCAGTCCTGTAGTACTCACATAATGGTTTCAGAATTGCTGCCTCCATATGAGAAACAAACTGCCAGCAGGTGTTTAGGATTTGCTAGCAATTATTTTTTCCCCTAAGTGAAGAGTATTCGCAAAAATATTCTTCACAAGTTACTGACATAAGCTTTGCTTCAACCCCCTATCCTCAGTGTGGTTGTGTTTTTTATTTGAAATTCAGTATATCGAGGTTTATTTTTCTGTTTGTTTTCCATTTTTAGGGTTCTGTCTTGCCCCCACACCCCATCCTTGTTCATTTAAATTTACTTTTTGAGTTGTATGCTATCAGTTATCAACTTGTGATATCCAGAAAAAGTGGTATTCCCTTCCCTGTTCCTTTAGTAGCCATCTCAACACCGTATTCTCAGTCCCACATCCCGTGTAGGTAATCAGTATCATTAATTTCTTGTTTATCCTTCTTGTTTTTCTTTTTTCTTTTTTTTAAAGATATTTAAAAAAAATTATTTATTTGACAGATAGAGATCACAAGGAGGCAGAGAGGCAGGCAGAGAGAGGAGGAAGCAGGCTCCATGCTGAGCAGAGAGCCCGATGTGGGGCTCGATCCCAGGATCGTGGGATCATGACCTGAGCCTAACCCACTGAGCCACCCAGGCACCCCTATTTTTTGTTTCTTATGTAAGCGGATACAGGTGTTTTCTTCTTAGTTACCTCCTTTTGTTTCATGCACAAAATGCAGTAGCATTCTGTGTATTTTATGTTGCACTCTGCTTTTTTCACTTAGCAATGTGTCTTAGAAATAGCTACATAGCAGTTCATGGAGATGCTCCTCAGCCTTTTTTACAGCTGTGAAGTACTTCAACCAATCTCCTGTATGTGGTTATTTAAGTAGTTGGCAGTATCTTCTATATTAATTATGTTATAAATTATGTTACAGTTAATAACCATATGCATGGGTATTTTTGTACTGTTGGAAGGGTATCTATAGTATAAATTCTTAGACACGGGATTGCTGAGTCTGAAAGGTGAATGCATATGTAGTGTGGTGTGTTAGTCACCTATTGTGTGCAACAGATTACCACAAACTTAACTGCTTAAAACAGCATACATTTATTATTTCACAGTTTCTTTGGTCAGAAGTCTGGGCATAGCATAATTGCATCCTCTGCATAGGATTTTACAGGGTTGCAGTCCAGATGTCTCCTGGGCTGTGTTCTCATCTGGAGGCTTGACTGTGGAAATACCTGTCTCCAAGCTCACTCGTGTTGTTGGCAGACTTGACTTCATTGTGTGTGTGTGTGTGGGACTGACGGCTCTGGCTTTGTTTTAACTGCCTTGGAAACCTGCCTCAGCTCCTAGAGGCCAGTTGCCATTCCTCGTCTTGTGAGCTTTCCCAAAATGGTCACTTCATCAGGCAGGCAAGGGGAGTCTTCTATAATGTGGAGTCATCGCAGGGGTGGCTGTTGGTTAGAAGCAAGTCATAGATCCCTGTGCGCACTAAAGGAAGGGGATTATAAAAAGGCGTGAACACCGGTAGGTGGGGGCCACTTCCGGGCCTGTGTCAGTTATTGCCGCATATGCCTGTAAGGGTTGTACTGTTTTGCCTTCTTGCCGGCTATTTATGAAAGTGCCTGTTTACTCACAGCTTTGCCAGGTACCGTACTACCTAGCTTTTGAACTTTTGCCAGCCTAATGGGTGGAGAAACGTATCTTGGCCTACTTCTCATTTGCACTTCTTATTATGAATGAAATTGAATATCTTCATATGTTTAAGGGCCATTTTATACTGTGTTTTGAGAACTACATACATATTCCTGTTTTCCCCCTCATTTAAAAATGTTGAGGTGCGGGGTGCCTGGGTGGTTCAGTCATCTATCTGCCTTCAGCTCAGGTCATGATCCAGGGTCCTGGGAGTGAATCCTGCATGGGGCTCCCTGCTTCTCCCTCTCCCTGCCACTCCCCCTGCTTGTAAAGGTCACTTGCGCACGCACACACTCTCTCTCTCACTCTCTGACAAATAAATAAAATCTTTAAAAAATACATAAATAAAGTTGAGGTAAAATGCATAGAGCAAAAGTGATGGTTTTAAAGTAAACAATTTGATGGTATTTAGTAGATGCATAGTATTGTGTATCCATCATCCCTACAGAGTTTGAAAACATTTGCATGAACCCAGAATAAATCCCATACCCATTAGGTAGTTATCTTCCATTCTCCTTACCCCACCCCCGACCTCTGTCAGCAGTTTAACTATGAGGTGCATAGATGTGTTTTTCTTTGAGTTTATCCTGCTTGATGTTTGTTTTACTTTGGAAGGTTTGGGTAGGTAAGTATCACCAAATCAAAGATTGTTTGCTCTTATTTTTTTTTTTTCTTCTGGGACTTGAGTTGCTTGTATGTGAAACTGCTTGACAATGTCTCTCAGGTGTCAGATGACTCTTTTCTCATTAACTCTTTATATTTTAGTTTGGATAATTTCTATTGACCTTACTTGAATTTTACTGATTGTTTATTATCTCAGTCTATTGATAAACTCATTGAAAGACTTAACTCTGCTGCCAAATAAAAAAAAAAATGTCTAGGGCTTCCATATATACATACATTTTTGTGTGTGTTCTCTCTGTGCTCACATTTCCTATTTGTGTGTGTGATCGACCTTTTCTCCTTGATGCTTTAATGTATTTTTTATGGTTAGTTTCAAATCCCTGTCTGATAATTCCAACATATGTGCTTTTTGTGGGTCAGTTCTGATGATGGTTTCCTTTCATATCAGTGGGTTACATTTTTTTTTTTTAAGATTTTTATTTATTTATTTGACAGACAGAGATCACAAGTAGGCAGAGAGGCAGACAGAGAGAGAGGAAGGGAAGCAGGCTCCCCGCCGAGCAGAGAGCCTGACGCAGGGCTTGATCCCAGG